TTAAATATTGGATATCAGACGCCCCCGGTAAGATCACAACATCAATGTTGATTTAAATTGACAAATAATTTGTGTTTTCAATGTCGAAGACTTTGGATTGAGTTAGAAATTTAGCTTCTTTAAGTACAAATGTACATGATATTGATATATAGAGTAAAGATGGCTGTCTGCAGCTGTGATTGTTTTAATAATTAGAATCATATATCAGATGTGCTCTACATGACAGATATCATAAGATTGTTGTATATAATTTATGTAGGTATTTTGAGCTGGCACTCATAGTAATTACATTAGTTGGAGCCATGACAGGCTCAGTTTTTATGGCAATGGTTCACTAAGCAGGTCCCAGGTTCTATCCCGTGTACGTAAAAGAATCGTTGGCAGTTGATGAAATTTTTCTCATGGCACGCAGCATGACGTTTAAATCCAGCCCATGTGGTTTTTGCTACACTGGTTTCCTTCTAAGCCGCGAATCAGATACAAAATACTAACACTAGTGTATAAACGTAGCAATAATGCAACTCCTCAATACTTATCTGAACTCTTATATGACTACAACCCTAGTATTAGATCAATTCGCTCTCAAACTAAGTTGTTCCGAGATATAATTTAAAGTCATGGGTATAGGTCTTTCAGTTCATCTGATCCTAGATTATGGAATGAACTTCCACAACAGAACAAGAATCAACAGACTTTTCATCAATTTAAATCTGCACTAAAAACTTTCCGGTTTCGATAGTTTTACCAGTAGAGCCATTACTAATAGTAAGTGCAGGGGGACTGCACCACACAAAATTTACACAAAAACAAATACACGGACAAGACATCATACTCAGAAAAACAGAAACAGACAAACAATTCAAAAACAGTGAATGGATCCGTGGCCTAGCCGTAAGCGTCCTTGAGCATGTGTCAACATGGAGAAGACGCTATACAAAACATAAAGACTTGTTGTTATTATTATACCCATCTTCATTAGCCCGGTAGTGGCAGAAAAGTAGGACTTTAGATCCCATTTTATTTCACCTACATTAGGTGGACGTCCTGGTAATCTGTGTTCAGAGATTTTTCATTTAAAAGCACATGTTAGTATGGGGTGTTCCCACTTTGCCGGCAGGCTTTGATGTCAAATTTTGCCGCTAATCCAGAGTTAATCCTAGATCAGTGGTGTTATAAACTTTAGTCCATATCTTTTTTAAGAATAAAACTGTATTGATTTTAACAAATATAACTTTTATTAAAAATGCATTACAATTTACACATTTAACTTTTATTAAATAGCATTATATAATTTATAAATAAATGCCTTACAACATAACAATCATTTTACAGCCCCCCTAAATAGGAAATATTTGTTCCATACTGAGGGGGGTTAGATGGCTTAGTGGTTAGCACGTGCAGGCTGTATTATTAAGTCTGTCATTGAGTCAGTCAACTGGCGTGGTTTCGAATCCCCGGTTGTACGTGACAAGGAGTAGGGTCGCCTGTCCAACCTCGTGGGTTTTCTCCAGGTCCTCCGGTTACCTCCCACTGCTAAAGACCCCTACGCGCAAGCGAATTATTGAAATAAAATTAAACCACATGTTAGTCCCGAAATGACCTAGTTTGTGTCGAGTGGACGTTAAACCCCATTTCTCTCTCTCTCTCGTTCCATACTGATTTGCACTTAAAGTGCCATTTAATAACTGTGTTTTCAAATGGTCAATTCTTGTATCAAGTTGTCAATATTCCTTAAAGGCTCAATACCACTCTTGTTGTAATTGAATAATATGTCCCAATCTTTATTCTGGTCAACAAATTGTACTATTTTAGAATATTTCAATTAATTGATGATACAAATTTCATCTTAACACACCTTATTTAGAAATTTTGAAAAATTCAACACAATGGTTTGAAACGTCTAACGTAAACCTTTTCAAATGAAACTTCGATTTAAAAATATTTTCGAACCCTCTGAACAAGTAAAATGGGATGTAATGGATAATTTACACAACAGGTAGGACACTTAAACATCTAGTACTTAGATAGAGATATTATTTATTTTCTGGGGCTTTCAAGCCAGCAATCGTGTTATTGTCCCTTTAACTCGAGGGCTTTTGGTACCACCTAATAATATCTGTGAAATGGTGATTACAACATAAGATTGTTCTTGTTTTATTAAGTTAATGAATTTTATTAAGAAGGATTAAGAGCTCATTAACTTGACTACTTTTAAACAGAGTATAGTTTTAAGATCAATTAAAGGGTTAACAGTCTGCCAGCATAGTGGGAACACATGGTTAGTATCAACATTATAGATATGTGCCCTTTTAGACAGGTGTTAATGAGTCATTAGGATTATGATTAATCACTTATTATAACACCTGTATTTACTCTTTAAACTTCCATTCTGTATTCCTTTAATGAATTGCAAACCCACAGGTTTTTACAGTGTGCAAACCTATAACATTGAATATGAAAAGTAACTGAACACATGTTATTTCTGATGCATCACTGAATCCTCTGTGCATAATTCAATTGTATAATGTAGCATATTTCAATATCAATTTTTCCAATTTTATTCAAATTCAACATGTAACTTGAAGTTCATTGAAAGTGTGTGAATATAAAGCATAAAATTAGCATTATTTTGATATGTCACTTATGATAAATAAATTTCTAATTATTAAGATGTGGTTTAGATGTGAGAACTATATGTACCAAATAAGCGTAACCAGCTTGACTGTTCTGACAGCAACAGTTATAGTGGTTAGAGTTAATTACCCATGCATGCTTATATCCTACTTCAAGTTTCCAGAAAAAGTAGTAAAAAGTGCATGCTGAAGCTGTCAATTTTAAGCCGGCACAATAAACCAGCAAAGAAAAGCACTTCTCGAATATGAAGCTGGGACTTTTAAACTGGTTATTTGTCCCACCTGAAATAAAATAAAAGTAGAGGTTAATGAAGACACTGGCATACATCATGCAGTGTACTATGAGGGACATTTTGCCACGGACAGTCGCACTCCAGCCTACTCCTATTTTCTGATTCCAACCGTTTAGGTTTTTTTTAAGTGAACTCTAAAGTGTGCAAAGGACCACAATTTTCTAGCCCATCCAAGGACTAGATACTTTTGTTTGCCAGGCCCTCTGTATCGGTGACAAGGGAAATCCTGTGGAACTATCACAGTCACCACCAGGGTCGTACCTTGGACCTCCTTGTTAAGGTGCCAACGCCTTACTCACTGCTGTCCAAACTTGTGGGTTTTCTCCAGGTCTTCCGGTTCCTCCCACCGCTGAAGATCCATACGCACTAGCAAATTATTGAAATAACATAGAACCATATGTTAGTCCCGAAATGACCTATTTTGTGTTGCGTGGACGTTCAACTCGATTTCTCTCGCTCCCTTAATCACTGAGTCACCATGACTCCCTATTAAGCTGAAATTATCCATCTGAACTGCATATTAATTTAAACACGGCTACTAAAATAAAAGAACAAATATTATCAAAAGATTTCACAATATTATTATTTACGCTTATATAAAAACAAATATATTTCAGTATTTTTATGTTTTGTTAATTCGGAATGCCTGACAAGGACAGCTGTCTAGTCGTTCGGATGGAATGGATAACCGAGGTCCCATGTACACCTTGGTGTGCATGTAAAAGATCCCTTGGCAGTTGGAATTCGATATAAGAGTAGGCCATCGTCCTGATGCCCGTCTCATTAGCCCAGTTGGAGCAGAACAGTAGGATGTTAAACCCCATTTCATTTAATTTTTCATTTTAAAAAGTAGAAGTATACAGCGTCATGTTTTGACAGTCATAGAGTATAATTTAAATGTTACCAACATTTAAAATGAAATGTTGTTTTGTTTTCTTGTTTGTCCCATCCCAACAACTAGGCCTTCTGTCCTGTATCACTGGGAAAACGGGCTGGTACTTTTAAAAGTTTTGTTTTACTGCATCTTCATTAGCCCAGTTGGTGCAGAAAAGTAGGATGTTAAACCCCATTTCATTTCTGTGCTTTACTGCACAATTCGCAGTATATTTAGCTGTGGAACAAAAAGATAAATAAAAGTCAAACGTAATCAAATCTGAGTTTGGGATTGACGGGATGTAAATATATTCAGTCTTTTTCTCTTTAAATGCATAACAACTCTAGCATTTAAATAATGGAATTCGTTTTGGAGAATATTAAAATCAATATTTACACAAAATGTAGAATTTAGGAGAGGGAAAAACAGGTCAGCCATTTATGAACAATTAGTGGTATCGAGAAATAAAGTGCTTGGAATATTTTTAACTTCTCTTGAAATGGAAGTAATTGGTTTCAAGTGAATTATTTACAATTTCTTTTTGGCTCTTTTGCATGATCTTTAATCAAGCAAATAACTTACTTTTTCACGTCTGTTAGATTCTGTTAGAAATATCAAAACTCAAAAAAACAAAAATGGATGAAAAGAAATCCTGTTTTTGTTGGTTTTTAGATTTACAGGGATTGTTCTTGTGGTCATAGAACCCTATTATGTTCAAATTTATGAAAACTTGTGAACTCAATTATGAACCCTATAACTCATGAAAGCTCGTGAATGCAATACCACATATAGGTCATAATTAAGAACCCTATAACTTATGAAAGCAGTGGGAGGAAACTGGAGGACCCAGAGAAAACCCGCAAGGTTAGACAGGCGACCCTACTCCTAGTCACGTACCACCAGGGAATCGAAACCACGCCAGTTGACTCAATGACAGACCTTATGATACAACGCGCACGTGCTAACCATTCAGCCATCCAACCCCCCCACCCCTATACTCAAATAAAATGCTAAAATGAATAAACTTACCAGATATATGCTAACCCTTCAGCCATCCAACCCCCTGTATAATTTGCAATATTATTATGAAAGCTGTAATATTCTGTGTAAGATATATTTGTAATTGTCATATATATGAATACAGAACAAGCAGTATGCATTATTAAGAAAATCATATACATGTTTTTATGTATATTTCAGGAACCATCATTATTTGCTGTGGCTAAACTTTTAGAGACAGGTTTAGTGAATTTATCAAGAGTTGAAGTTCTATGGAAACCTGTGACTGCACATCTTCTTGAGGTAGGTGGTTAATAGTATTTTTGCCAAAACACAGCTGCCCACAGATAATTATAAAATAATAAAAATAATCTTTGTGTTGTCCATCCCAATAACTACCCAAAAAAATACAATGTCATCTTGTCAGTGTGAAAGTATCATTTATTAAATAATTATTTAAATGACTTTGAGAATACAGATAAAGACATACATGTATACACGAATTTTAAATGACAACAAAATAACTAAAATATCAACTAATTGGTCGGCTAAATAATCTGCTTCGGGTGAATTAAACATCATCCATTACATGTCAGAGCAGCGATTAAAAAGGTGGGAAATCTTAGCTAGCTCATTAACATATTACAATCATGCAGTAAATAAAATGAAACAATCTGATTGGATAAAAAACACAAAATACATTATTTACAATAATGATTACTTTCTATAGGGCTGAACATTTAGTCAATTGTGATGGCTCTGTGGCATTTTATAATAAACATTGCGATAGATATAAATTAACATGATAAATATGTAGTACCATGTGTCTTTCGTCTGACGCGGAGAACGGGTGATGGAAACCGGTCGCCACATCCTATGTACGACCCATGCATCTTTTCTTACTACATATCTTAGTAGTCTTGTGATCATCTAGAATTTGTCTCTAGCTATCTTTGCTTCTGCTTCACGTTGTGTATTACTTCTTACTGTTTCTTAAGACGTTTGTCTTCTCAGTAGTTATAAAAATGCAACAGGTCGTTTTTACATTTTATTTATCATATAGCTGCTTACATATGGTACAATGCATAATAGAATAAAGTCATTCTCAAACACTAGCCAGACTCGCTGATTCTGCTGATAGAAACTGCTACATCTTTTCCCTTCCAGAATCTGTCTGCTGTCTGACAATTGCCCACCAATATGATAGTTTTGTAGCTTTGGGTTTTAGACCTTCAATTATCTAATTGGTCAAATATGATGTAAATAATTACAGAGATTGGTCAAATTAAACCAAATGATGCAATCGTAATTTTACTATCACATGTGTTTCGACACAATCTATCCTTGAACTTAGACCCTCTTTCCTGTTATTCTCACACTATTTCATAAACCATTAATTAGCGTTTTAAATAAACTCATACCTTAGCTAATATACTGACAATAAAGAATAATTTGTAAAGATAAAAATATTGTTTAAACCATCGTATTTCTCTACTCCTTGTCTATAAATTTAAAAACAATGTCGCAACTAAGCTATTTCTACAAAAGCTAGCATTGTACTCTTATTTTAATTGGCCAGAATTACGCCACTTTTCATTCCAATCTGTATCAATAAATACAAAGCAAAGTACATTACAATTTTGGTCAGTATTTGATAAAACAAACGTTGACTCCATCCAGAATAACCCCAATGGCAATTAGACCCCATATGGTAATAGCACCAGTGGAAAAAAATGGACAAAAGCTAGCACTAGACTTTAATTTGTACTGACCACATTTTAAGCTGCCTGCTTTGTGTTTTTGTCACTTTTCATTCCAATCATTATCAATCATTACAAAGCAATGCACAATACAATTTTGGCCAGTATTTGATTAAACAAGATCCACACCATTTAGTACAAAGGGACAGTTTCCAGGGAACTTTGCATTGAATGGCTGATTCCGGTCACAAACCATGCAAACGGCAATTAGACCCCGTATGATATTGGCACGATGGATAAAAATTGATGTATTTTCCTTTCATATGTTTAATTTCCTTTCATATGTTTAAACCAAAGCGCTAACTATTTTTCGACTGTTTTCCAAAATGTCAGAGCTCTCTATATCGGCTAAATAACAAAATTAACTCAACCATTAACAAATGTAGATTTGTCTTCGAGCACAGATTATGCAAATTAGAACGGATAAATATATTCTAAACTATTCCATAAATTTCTATTAGTGAAATTATTAGAAAGAATTTGCCGCAGGTAACCATTTGTATTAACTACGGTTGCCATGTACAGTAGACATATTAGGATGCTTACACGAATAATGGCCGGTACTATATATTTTGATTTAAGACGAGCAGGGAGTCATATTTCAATAAAAACTTTGATATGAAAAAAATATCAATACCCGTTGTTATATATCAACTGTTATTTTCGCGATATATCTGGTAAGTTTATTCATTTTAGCATTTTATTTGAGTATAGGGGTGGGGGGTTGGATGGCTGAATGGTTAGCACGTGCGCGCTGTATCATAAAGTCTGTCATTGAGTTAACTGGCGTGGTTTCGAATACCAGGTTGTACATGACAAGGAGTAGGGTCGCCTGTCCAACCTCGTGGGTTTTCTCCGGGTCCTCCGGTTTCCTCCCACTGCTAAAGACCCCTACACGCAAGCAAATTATTGAAATAAAATTAAACCATATGATAGTACCGAAATGACCTAGTTTGTGTCGAGTGTTCTATACAATAAATGTTAGCATTTATCTTAAAGTGTGTGAACGAAGCGATTATCTAGAATGGTATCGAAAAGCCTGATACAGTCAGAAAACAATGTATTGGATGTTGATATAAAAATGTAGCCATAATTCCCATGTATTATAATCAGAAGATCAATGAAATGTTTTTGTCCGCCCACTTTGAATTCGCCCACTTTGAAATGTAATCATGGATTGTCATCATAACTGTCCACCCATCCCATCCCATTCACGGGTGATAGAAGATTATGGCCTATGGGCTTCTTGTGTTGTTCATGCTGATAAAGTTCTTTAAACATTATATAAAGGGTTTATTACACTTTAATGTAAATATTGCCTTTTTTTTTACAGTATTTCAATGGGATTGGAAATTCCCTCTTGTTTCAAATATTATCACTTTAGAGGCTTTATTTATGATCTAATCCCTTTAAGTCAAAACTGTTTGGCTGTCTTAGCTGGGGTGGATGTATGTTCATTGAATGGCAACCAGCATTTCATATATTATATACAAATTCATACCTCTGTAAGAACCTTCAACCTTTAATCCGCAATAGATCTCTAATTATTATCATGTATAAATAAAATCCTTGTAGTCCTTGGTCTTGATGACCGGGGGATCACGGTGGCTAAGTGGGTAAGACGCTGGCTCGCTAGCCTGGAGGTCGGGTGTTTGATCCTTGCATTAGCCGAGAAAGTTCATCCAGATTTTCCGCCGTGGTTCTCCCTTGTCAGTGGTGCAGGACGGAGGGGCTGACAAGGAAAGCTGTCTAGTCGTTCGAATGGGACGGAAAACCGAGGTCCCGTGTACACATTGGCGTGCACATAAAAGATCCCTTGACAGTTGGAATTCGATATAAGAGTAGGCCGTAATGCTGCTGTCCGGGCAAAATTTCCCTCATAGCACACTGTATGGCGTATGCCTGTCTTCATTAGCCCAGTTCGGAGCAAAACAGTAGGACGTTAAACCTACTGGTGCTATAATACAGGAATAAAAAGTAGTAACTTAACATGATGCCCCAGCTTCTCTGTCTATCTGTAACAGATAGAAAAACAAATTCTCTGACTGGATTACATAAAATCTTGCCTCAAGCTTATCACCAAATGATTCTCACGTAGTGATAACTTCGCTCAGAATAAAGTAATTTGAATGAAATTTTCAATATATTAATTTTGAATGATCTGTTTTGAAACTATTATAGCAAGAATGGCTAGCTCTTTATCTAAATCTTACATAATGCATATTTAAATCTTCCAGGTATGGCTTACTTAATAATAATAATGATAATCAATTTGTATAGCGCTGAGTGCTCCAGCTAACAGCTGCTCCGCTGTCAAATGTCATCATATGTACATCTCAGTATCCCCAGTGGTCTCATTCTGGTCTACTCCACTATACCCTGGGTTCATCCATGGGGTATTCAAGTTATCTGCCCTTGATCATAGCTTGATTCTAAGAACCAATCAAAAAACAGTTTACAAACCAGTATTAGCCTCATTGTTTACTTTCACAACAATATGGTGGTTTGTTCGCTGGATTATGAGAAAATTTCAAGAAATTTAATATAAAAGAAGTGACATGCATACAAACTTCCTTTGTATTTAACAACTTTTTTGATTGGTCAATAAAAATATCACAATCATCAAGAGCAGATAATTTGAATATGTGTCTACCCTATGGGTGAACCCAGGGGTTAGTGGAGTAGAAGAGAATGAGACCACTGGGGTTACCAAGTACAGCTCGTATGTCATAGTTAAGACATGAAATTATAAATGGTAGTAACTTTTTTACTAAAGAAAATTGCATGAATTTACATCAGATAAATTTATTGCCAAAAGAATTGTATCATGACTTGAGGTCACATTTTATTTTTTGATACATTGAGAAGTACCCGGTGGTCAGATTTATTTGAGTTTTTAATCTCTGTGGTTATTTTTTTTTACTTTATAGACCTACATATTGGTATCGGAACCTGTATTCAGTTAGTTACGGCCCATTGGCTATAATTATTTCTGTTTGAACTTAGGGATCAAATATTTATACATCATAAGTGTATGATAATAGAGTAATTAATTAGTTCACATTTCTATCTAATGTTAATTATAAGTATTATCGAATTAGATCTACTGATTTAGGCATACTATCAATGCTATAACTTGTTTTTTATCAGATATATATACGTTTGATAAGTATGGGTTATCAGAATTAGGTTGATACAGTTTTTATCAATGTTATGCCTAAGAGGTTATTATCTTCAGTCATGGTGGCATCAGGAAGATATATAATTCTAGTTGGGTTTATTCATAATTTACAATAATTTAAATTACTACCGGTAGTTGTTTTGACATCTATAGAACCCAACATTTCATTCAATAGAACAGTCGAGACAGTCGGTGAATTTTATTTTTAAAGTGCCTATCGACACTGATTGTCATTTGCATTTTTCAGACAATATCTAATATTTTTCTAAGCTAAAATTGATTAGACATGCAGTATGCAAGAGGTCTTTTTTTAGGCCTGAAATGTTGTCTAAATTATTAATTAAACATTTATTAACATAAAA